TTTATAATAACAGTGGAGCCGAGGGGAGATGTTACCATCTCAGATATTAGAGAGGCTACAATGAGGCTCATATGATGGTGAACTAACACCAATATCTTAAATGATCTTTGAACACCCCACCCCGAAAAAAAAAAAAAAAACGAAACGAAACGAAACAAGAGAAGAAGAAGAAGAAGGATAAGAGGGTTTCACTGAGTAATCCGATATGTGTTGCGCAGCCACCATCCTCCCCCCCTCTCCCCCCCGCCCCCCAAAAAAAAAAAAAAAAAACAAAAAACTTCCTCTTCATATACACAATACGCCCTCTGTATTCTGTAAATGCTTCAGCAGATAGTTTTCACTTAGAGAAACTATGATTTTGTATTAAAAAAAAATAATAAATGGTCACTTTTTTTTTTGGTTTTTTTTTTTTTTGCTGTTTAGTCCGACATCTTCATGATTTAATGCAGGCGTGGTTGTCGCGCGACATGTCATATGAGTCATGAGGTTTTTTTCCTTGGGATAATTGGTCACCTTCTAGTTATTGTATCTGTCCCACACATTAAATAGGCGCTCTTATATTTTGTCCGCTAGAATCGGTTCATGTGCAATGCAAGTATCATTACCCGTTGTCATCCACTTATAAATAGCTGTCAATTTGTCTTATTATTGTCACTATAAGTACTTATGTTTTGATTACCGACCTTTAATTTTTTTAACAAATGTTATGAGGTCTTTAATTTTGGAGAATCGCACCTAAAACCTTTGAAATGAAAAAAATCACACCTAAAACCTTCGACCTTTAATTTTGAATTGTTTTTGTAGACCTTACAACTTCAAATGTAAATATATTTTTTCATGAAAAGACACATTTACTCTTAATTGCATGAACTTTGTATAATAAACAAACATTATGTTGTTAATGCATGTACTTTGTCATGTTTTTTTACAGACATTGTGTTGTACATATATTTATAAAACTTGTATATTATTGTTCAATTTAATCACACAGGTGATGTATAATAATATTGTATTGTTCACATGTGGACCTTGTATTTACTGTTCAACTTAACTATATTAATTATATATAATAAATAGACATTATGTTGTTTGCCTATAGACGTAGTCATGTTCTGTGCAGACATTATTGTTCAGCTTAACCACACGAATTATATATAATAAAAAGACTTTATATTGTTTACTCATGGACCTTATTATATTTTTTACAGACATTGTGTTGTATATATGATCGGCCTAGCAAGTGCAGGGGGATTGACATGGTAATAAATTTTAGAGAAGAGCAATGACCCAACTAAACAGACGAACGTTAGGGATCAAGATTTATCTATTGGGATGAATTATCCTAATTTAGGTAATTATTTTCTCTTCTTTTATAGTGATAATCATTTTTAAGGTGTCCTAATGACCTTTTACTATATTAGGATGTATTTAATTAGAGTTAAGCCTAACTCTCACTAAATTTTATTTTCTAACTAAATCATGAAGCTACGATCTAAGCCACCATAAACTCTTAAATTATTTTTAATTTAGTTATATGTGTCTATTTCTTTAGTTATAGGTAAGTTTTTCATCTTTAGTTCATTAAACTGCCCACAAACAATTTATATGACAGCTGTACGTCTATATGAAGAGTAATTAAAATAAAAGAGATAAATACTTAAACATAAATTGCATACAGAAAATTCAATGTCTAATAGGAAAAATAATTAAAACCAAATGAAGAATAAAATCCATTTCAATCAAGCTACTCATTACTTTAACTAAAAATTTAGCAGAACTCATAAAGTTAAAGCTATAATTATAGATAAAAGATTAAAGAAGAAGAGAAGAGAGAAAGCTCCTGGCTCGAAAGACTCCTCTAGACTCTATAATATGTCTCTTAGCTTTTAGATCTGAGATTGGATGTTGTTGAAAGGCTTTCAGGAGAATTATTTATAATAAATTTGACCCTCATAGATAGAGCTAGTAATTCAAATGGGCTGGGTTTAATTCAAGCCAGGCTTATTCGAATCAAGCTTCAACTATCCTACCTTTTTTAAAAACACTCATATAGACAAGCCATGCCCTAACACCTTCAAACTTATTCGGGCTAGCCTGAATACCCAAAAACTTTCTAAAAATATTTTTTTCTTTATTTCTTGAATCAATTTTAATTTTTAAATAATTCTATTAAGCATAAAATATTATTTTAACTTTAAAAAACTAAAATAAAAAATAACTTATTAACTTTATATTTAAATAGATCTGTTATTATTTTGTTATGTTATGTATAATTTATTCATAAATGTTTTCTTTACTTGTAAATTAATGTTGTAATTATTTACATATTGCTTTTATTGTAGTCATATATAAATATTTTATATATTTTAATTAAATTATATTATTTTAATTATAATTAAGTTGATTTCAATTCTTAGACTACTAATTTAAAATTATTTTCTTGATTAGTTCAAAATTTTTAATAATTTTTAGATAAATTGTACTTTTTTTATGAATATAAGAAAAAAAGCCATCATTATATTATATAAAAAATTATTTAATTATGAATAAAATTTTATTTGTTTGAACGTTTTTCTTTAACTTTTTATATTGTTTAACTCTTATATATAAGAATTTTTACTTTAGTTTATTTTTAATTTTTAATCAAGTCTAGCATGGACAATAACTAAGTAATTATTCAAGAATATTATTCTATTTATTATATTTATTTAGTAATAAAATTGAGAATTTGTACATGCCTAAATTTTATTTTTAAAATTATTTTTAATTTTATTTTTAATTTAAAATTAATTATCTTAATTTATAAAAAAATATAAAATTAATTTTTTATATGCAAATGATGTATAGGACTAAATTTTTTTTAAAAAATTAGGTCTTAAAATATAAAAAGAAATATTAAAATATATTTTTAAATATTATTTTGAGATATTTTAATAATTTAAAAATAATAAAATATATGAAGTATAACTATTTTTTATTTTTTATTTAAAATAACTATATTAAAACACTCAAATATATAATATTTTGATATAAATTGATATAAAAATTAAAAATTTAATTAATATTTATCATATTTTATATATTTTTAAATTTTTTTGAGTTATTTAGACCAAGCACGAACCCGATTAGACTTAATCTAAATTATTGGCTCTACTCATAGAATTAGAATTCATTCAGATCATGCCATATCTCATTAGATATGATATCTAATTTAAAATATTTAAATTATATTTGAGTTTAAACTTGAACTAAATTACTGACTCTATAGCTACTCATAAATTTAGAATCCGTTTAAATCACACCTTATTTTATTAGATATGATATCTAATTTAAAATATTTAAATTATATTTTTTTTAACTTATTTCTCTTTCATCTGTGCGTGATCGTGCAAAATATATTCCCATCCGCGCGTGGCAAAAAGGAAGGTGAAGGGCTCTATTGCACACTCATCCACATGCGATCATGGCTCTGTTGATCTTGTTCGCGTGCAGACATTCATAATTCTAGGGGATTAATTTTAATGAAAGAATGATGTTAAAATCTCACACAAAAAATTAATTATTATAAAATTTATTAATAATTAAATTAAACTGTATTAATAATTAATTTAAAATTTATACTTATTTATTAGTTAAATGTACATTTATCAATATACACTTGAAAAACTTATACATTTAAAAAAATAAATTTTTTAAAAAATATATTTGCATTTGAGACCTTTAAATTTGTAAAAACAATTCAAAATATATTGCGCCTTATGTGCAATTGTTTCCATTTTAAGAGCCCTACTCTTCCCTTTGGTTAACTTGAAGATATCAAGTTTAACAAGAGTTTTTAATCCATCTCTTGTAGTATCTCACACAAAAGCGTGTGACTTGAAGTAGAAATGTTTATTCCTTGAAAGTAAAAGTGTCGAAATAAGTCAAATGTTTATTGACCCGTTTAAGTCGTATAATGTACGGGCTAGAAGGTAATCGTTTATATAATTCAATAATTTCTTTCCTTTATTTATAAAAATAGAAAAATAGAACTATTAGTACTCTTAGATACTTAAATTACCGTTATTTTTTTCAGTTACATCTAATTTTAAAAGAATAGGTCTTTTTGCAAGGAATTGTTGAGGCTTGTTTTAAAAATATCGATTTGTTTGAGACCTAAAGAGTTAATTTATACAAACAAAAAAAAGCTTAATTAAAAAACGTATAAAATAAATGATGCTTAAATTTATTCAATCACAATTGCTTAAGCAGGGTTTACATTTTAAGCAAGTGTGAAAATATAAAATGTCTTTAAAAAAATTATCTCAATTAATTTCGATAATGTACTAATATCATCCAATAATATTGGATATACATATCAAAACTTATTTAAGCCAGTTGATCTTATAAGCAAGCCCATTCAAAAAGTAAAATAAAAACAACAACAACAATAATAACAACAGCAAGCAGTTTTGAAACTGATAGATATGGTGGGCGTAGAATTTCTTAACTTCCAATGTAAGAAGATGGACCCATCCATCCACAGGCAAATCGCCAACTTCCTTGCAATATAATGGGCATATTCCGGGGCAAAAATACTATCCTCTAATAATATTTTTTTTAAAAAATAAATTTTATAATTTATGTCCAAAATTATAATAATAACACCTGACATTTCATTGTTGGCAGAATCATGTCCAATTATTACTTCAAAAAGTTGTTTATAAAAAAGAGCTAATAATAAGTTTTATTAAAAAAAATAAATCCATATCATTTTAACAATACATTTTGTATTGAATTTTTTATAAAAATAATTTTTTTAAGTAACCCTTAATTTTACTTTATCATTCAACAAATACTTTCACTTTTAAGATGAAAATCAAACTTAATAATTTTTAAATTATATTTTATTAAAAATTTGATAACAAACATTACATTTTATACAAAAGCAATATTTATTCTACAAGGAAAAAGAAAAACATAAGAAAGTACACGCTACTAAAAAAACAGCTAAATACTCCTGCCATTAAATTCTCTCTCCAATCATCGTCTTTCTCCTCCTCTGACTTTTTCCCCAGAAACTTCCTTGCCCTTTTGCTGGCTTCGATTCTCAAACCTCAGTCCCTCACTGATCATTAACACAAAATTAACCATAAATTCACTAAATTTTCATTATTACTCTTTATTCAGATGTCTTGGATCTTCAAGACTTTCCAATCCAACGACGATCTCCAATCTCCTCATCCTCACACAGCCGTTACATCCTCGTCTTCACCGGAGCGGAGCTCCTCCGGCGATCGCCGCGGTAGCTCTGCTCTCAAAGGTGACGTATCCTCTCTTCTCCGAGGCGTCGCCAATTTCCTCGCTCCGCCGCCATCTTCTTCTTCCGCCGGCCATTCTGTGGACTCGTCGTCAAGAAGTCTTGATGTCGATGGGATCAGGAACGATCTCGTGGAGATCGGTGGAACCTTCAAGAGCTCGCTCTCCCTTCTCTCCTCCAACAAAGTTTTCACTGGAATTTCCGAGCTTACTTCTCAGTTTTTGCAGTCTGAGGGCCATGTTTTAGATGATGATCAAGAAGATGGTAATGGTAAAGGTGATCATCGGAATGATGGGGTTGTGCCGGGCACGACGGATGAGGTTGTTCGTTTTGTGAGAGAAATTGCTAGGCGGCCCGAGTGTTGGACCGAGTTTCCCTCGCCACTCGATCATGGTATTTCAGTATCTCTTCGATTCCGTGTTTGTAAATTATACCGTATTACCGTTTATGGTTTCTATCCCTACCTTTTCAATTGAACATGTATAATCCTTGGGTGGTGGGGTTACTGGGATTAAATAGATCGCTTTGGGAATTCTAGCTCTAGTAAACAACATAGTGATAAATGTTAGTTGGCAATTACATTTCCACTTCAAGTTTTTCTGCGGAAGGTTGGTCTTTATCCCAAATTCTTAATTCAGAAGTCCAATATCCCATTTTTCTAGGGGAAATTGAAGTTTTTAAATTGTCTAGTAGTTGATAGGCTCGCAATATAGGGAAGGAGCTAACTAAACTTATGAAAGGATTGAAGCTTTATCTCATTTCTTCTGCCATATATAATAGAGAATTCTAACTTTTGCTTGTGGGGTTTGAGGAGTATGAAAGTTCTGACTCAATGCAGTTTCTATGTAATGACACGTAGATTTATTCTTGTATTTGTAAGAATGCTGGTTGTGACTTGATTTGTCAGACAGTTTATACACATTGCAAGTCTATTTCGTGTTGGATGCATAAGCAAGATAAAGCCTGACGAAATATGCTGTTCTTTGTTCCTTTCTTTCCTGCTTAATCATCTAAACGATATTTGTCAACACTAATTCAGAAATTTGGATTTGGTTTGGCAGATTTCAGCATGTCGAATTCTCAGAGAGAACATGCGTTGACTATAGAAACACTGGTGCCTGAGTTGGTTTCACTTAGACTCAATCTTTGCAGTTACATGAATGTGGAAAAATTCTGGATGATCTATTTTTTGCTATTGCTTCCAAGACTAAATCAACATGATTTTGAGTGCCTGTCAACCCCCAAGGCAAGCTATGTTTCTTCAGATATACTCTTAATTTTTTGATCTGATTTTCGTGAATAGAGAGCATGTAGTTGCATTGACCAGTCAGGCTTAGTCATTTTATTCCACGGTTATATGTAATCCCTATCATCCTTGTAAATTTCTGTGATATAAAAGACCACAAATATTTGCATTCCTAACATCTCTTGTACATATAATCAATAATGTTTGTCATTAGGAAGCAAAGCTCTATAGTAGCAGACATGTTCAATGGTTTTATTGTATGCCCTTGTTTATTTTAGGGCCTTCTATTTGTTTGTTTTGTTTTTAAGATTTTCAGATAGCTTGTTCTGTGGCACCCCATACTACGATTTATCTGCTTGAAGATAAATTTCTAAATAATTCTCTCCATTTCACTTGTCTAAAAGCTGGGTAGGAATGTACCGTAAATGGAGGCTCATGTGTACGTTTTCCTTTTTTCTGTGTTCAGATTGTTGAAGCAAGGGATGCGCTTCTGCAGAAACTCCAAGAGAAGAGAAACTGTCAGGTGGAAGAACGTGAACAATTAAGTCCGGATCAAGAGCAGAGGGAAGACAGTATAATAGGGAGAGAAAATATTCCATCCGAGAAAAACCATATTACAGCCGAGAGAAAAGATGCAGTAACAGGTCTAAAAATTGATGACAAGGTGAGTACCGAAAATTGGCTGGAAGATGCACTGATATAGCTTTATTGACCTGCTGCACGAATTTTGAACAGGAAGACGTCTCATTCAGTGAGCTAGAAGATGATGGTAGCGATCTTTCCGATAGAACATCAGGCCATAGGAGGACCCATGACACAAGGGGTTCATCACCTGATGGATCTAGCGACTGGGTTCAGCTGAGTGAAAATTCAGAGAGAGGAGGTGGCGGGTGCGGGGCTGTCCATTCTAAAGGTAAGGATTCGGAAGATGAGTCAAATGATTGGCTTGCTGTTGATGATTTTTAATTAGATTTATTGATTGATTCAGTGATTGAAAAGATTCAACTTCTGTCCTAATTCTGGGGCTCTGTATTTAGAAAAATTTCACAATGGTGTAAAGGATTTTTTACTCAGTTCTCCCAACTTAATATTTTCTGTATAAAAGTTCCTGTGGCAGCCACATTTTTCTTATATACAGGGAAGGCAAATAAAAGGGTAGATACATGCAAAAAGCTGAAGTGCTGCTGTTTTTAAGTATTTACTATTCAGTTTCTTAACAAAAAATACAATAAGTGGAAAATTTCTTGCAGCTTAACATATTATTGTCGTGTTATTTCCTCTGCCTGGACATGCCTTATGTTTTCAACAAGAGTTCTTTTTTCTTCTTCCTTTTTTTCCAATTATTATTAGATAAAGCATGTAAAAATTATCGAAGTTAATGCTAACGTTGTGGCGGAGAACATAAGAATTTTACATGTTAGTGGAAAAACGTAGTTCTGGGGAAACATAATCAGAATAAAAGATAGTCTAGAAACGATACCAGGAAGCAAGTACTTTTTCATGCGTGTTTTTTCAAGTGGTGATTTGTGAGAAATTCAGATCTACTAAATGAATTTAAAGAATTCATATATATTGTCAACTACGATAAAAGTAAATCATATTCTACCAACTTAAGTTGGTTAAGTATAGAGTTCTCATCATCGAAGCAAGTGGTGAGGAGTTTAATCCTTACTATTGTGTATGTGACAATTCTAGTTGGGAACCAATCTTTGCCCTTAGAATCTCAGATCAAGAGTTAGCCTCTGCAAACGGTAAAGTATGTTTCTTATGTCTCCCAAAAACTAAATCATGCTTTTTGTCAAGAAATGCCGAAAATTGGTATTCAAAGACAATACAAAGCCCAGGAAGATGATGGAGTCCTCCCACAACTGCTATCACGCCAAGTCCACTGCTCCATTGTTGTTCGTTTGAGATTGGCCCGTTTACTGACATGACTAACTCTTTGTACACAATGAGTTGCATCTACCAACAACAGTTTAGTTCAACTTGTAAGAAAGAGTTTTCACCTTTCCGGAGCTGGCTCAATTCAAATTCATTGGAACTGTTAGACTTTCGGACACCAGATGATTACTTAAAAAAAATTAAAAAGAGTTGCATCTAGGGTTTGTACCATTAAATAATAAGAAGTTCGTCTTCTATAAATAATTATTCTGTACAGATATCGTAGCATAGAAAGCTAACGCAAATCTAACTTATAGATGCTTTTTATTTAAAATTTAGATGGTGGCAATTGATTTATTAAAAATAAAGAGAAGAATGTGCAACAACAAGAAGTCTTATTTTATTAGGTGAAATCAATTACATGAATTATGATATATTATTGTGCTATATCATTTATCAAAATTTTAAAAATATTATTAACTAAGAGGTCGTGGTCAATAATTTCTATAAGTTTTTTTCTTTAATCTTCTTCTACAACTTTGCCTATAGTTCGAAACTCGAGTAAAGGAGGAGATTTGTATTAAATTCTTAACAATCAATATAAAACTTTCTTAAATCTTTCATGGATATGAATAATAAAGAGAAGAAGGTAGTCAAGGTGAAATTCACAGCAGATATGCATTCATCATATATTCTTATGGAATCAGATGAGCGTTGTCCAAATTAAAAAATCGCAATGGAACTCAAGATTCTCTCTATATATATTTATATATATAAACTCATGATTTTTGCTGTATCTGTTATAATTTCTATCCTTCTGTATCATGAGATTCAGATTATATAAGTGTGTTGTGATTATGATTTGTGAGAAGTCGGTCTCACTTGATGATCCTCCAATCCTCGACTAATTTAAAATGCCAAATATTTCTGTCATTATTATTTATCAGTTATCACCTCACGTTGCAACGTCTGATACACTGACACACCCCACATCGAAACTCAATAATTCTCACCATAAACCAATGTTCTCAACATATCATATAACTCACACCTAAACTCAACACATTCTCACTGTATACACATGCCTCACATGTGCTTCTGTGTCTTAAGATACATACGCATAACTGGATAGAAGCACATAAAAGAGGGCAAAAAAAAGTATAATCAAAATTTTCTACATTCTGTCATGCATGATGATATTCAATATGTCAGGTCAAAAAAAAAAAAAGAAAAATCAATATGTATATGTTGGGTTTCCCCCCATATTTGAACATATCCTATCAAAAATAAGTGGACAAAATATTTTGATATGAAAAATTTGTAAGGTTTAGTGGCAAGAAGAAGGAATCCAGTATACATGGCTGTACTGTATTATACAATCCGATTATGTGGAGATGGATGAAGCAAAGCCACTTGATCACAAGACTCCAATATCTCCATATTCACATGCGTAGAGTACAGCACTGTGAATACGTGTGAACCGTTACCTCCTGGGAAGAAATTTCAGCCATTAGATATCTCACCACAAGCTAAGCAACGAAGCATCCATTTAATGTTTCTGTAACAGGACACCACCATGACGACAAAATGCAATTAAGTGGCCTCTCAGTTTTCTCGCCCACAAATTCTGTGATCCAAATTGCACATCATCATCAGAAGAAGAAGAAGAAAGAAGAACTGTTAACTTGTTCGATGTGACTTTTGGGGGTTGATTTGTCGATTGACTCAGTAATTTTTCATCTTTTTTTTCTGGACTTGGGAGTGTGAGAGACGAACAAATTGAAGTGAAAAGATTAAAGTTTTCAAACCTTGAGATGGATCCAAGAAACAGACTAGGACCACTTAAGTGTCAACTATGAAGAATTAACAGATTGACTTAACAGTTTACTGTGCCATAGATGCATATATCTTCCAATGATATGGATGGGGGTGGTCAATATTATTCAATCTTATATTCTACTAGTGCACATGCAGTTTTAGAAGGCAACAAAAACGGCATAAATTTAGAGAGAGAGAGAGAGAGAGAGATCACATGGCATGATGAGAGTGAAGAAGAAAGGGCAGTGCAGTGAGTCACGAACTCACGGATGGGCATAGAATGAGAAGCTTACAAAGCAATGAAGGCATTATAGAGCGAAGTTGTGAGAGACAGAAGTATACATCTCCATCAAAGCCCATCACTGGAGAATCATCATTTTCTTCTTATCCTTGCCTTTTCTTTGATCACATGGGATGCCACCCTGTACTGTTTTCCTACACCCACTCTTCTTTTATCCTCTTCTTCTTCATTAGCTGTAGCTAGTCTGCCAGGCGTATCCCTCTCATCACTCTCTCTTTTCTTCTTCCCCATTAAGCTTCCATCACTTTCCAATTCTTCTCATTATATTGTTCAAATTTTTACCGCCAAACCATGTCAGTTAATGTATGAAGCATTCTGTTATTTATATATTTTTATTGTGATTTTTCCGTCGTATAATGGCCTATTAGTTCAGTTGATTAGAGTGTTGTGTTGATAACCTGAAGGTCACAGGTTCGAGAACTGCATGGGCCAAGAGTTTTTTCTTTAAAAGTTTTGTCAAATTACTAGAAATCTCAATCTTGAATCTTAATGTGCAACACTCTCTCCGTTGATGAGGGGTAATTTAAAAAAAAAATATTAGAAATGTTTATTAAGATATATAATTTTGCTTATAAATTAAAAAAAAAACAAGTGTTAGTTTCTCTTAAAAAATATTAGGATCACAAATTTTACGTACCGAGACCGATGGAGACAAAAGTTCCTTCATATTTCGGGTCCCATGTATATCATTTCATTGGTCTCTAATGAAAGGTCTAATAATCATTCAACCATATACAACCTCAAGTCATTATTAACCTTATCTTAGATTCCGAGATGAAAATTATAAAATAATCGTGAGAATATATACATACATATATATGTAACTTTCTCTCCTTTTTTCCTCACTTTTTTGGCTGTCATTTCATTTCATTTCTGGGAAGATTATTCAAACAGTCGACACGATCTTAACAGTGAGATTCTTAATTATCTTAATCAACTTCGCATATTTCATATTATATCTGTCTCCATGACACACAAGACATTAGCTCCCTGGGAATAATAATCAGTTCATGCTACGTACACTGATAATATATATAATCCCCAACAAGTTTGAAAAATACTATTTGGCTCTCATCTAACTTGCGAGCTTGATGTCATTTTCTTTGTTGAGTTTGAGTTTGAACTGGACGCATTAGATGCTTTCCTAACCAGGTCTAATCTGGCTTGTTCTATATATCCATCATGCACAAAAAAAGCAAATACATGCATTTTTCGATTCATTTCTCATAGAATTGAATTTTTTTAAAAAAATCGATATATACTTTTTGGTGGGAAAAATGAAATCGAAGTACGAGTATATAGTTTCTAAAATCTCTCGTCCTGATCACCTGGTTCTAAAAAGAAGTTGCTTCTTTATGCTATATATATACAAACATGAGAAATAATTGCTCTCTCATTACCTTTCCATAAAACTACTACAAAACATCAACAGCGTATTTACCTGGTGCAAAAATAATTACAATAGGTGAATAGTATATATGTTGTGATTAATTAGCTAGCTAGCAGGTACTGTCAGTGTCATGGGATGAGATTAAATTGATCATACATATATATGCTTTTATATTATCAGAAACCCATTATTTTGTTATAGTAAAAGTAAAGAAGAAGCCAAAATACAAAGCAATAGCCGATAGATGTTGAGTGCGTGGTGAAGAATTAAGATAACATTAGCGAGACATTATGGTAATGAAATTCCATGATTCATATGAACTAGAGTGGTAATTTGCCAGCTCGCATTTTCACCATATTGGCCCATCATCACGTGATCTGCTTTTCGTCTGAACCATTTTTTTTTTTTTTTGTTTGCTTCCTTCTTCACTCTATACTGCTTCTCCTATATATCACCTTCTTCCTCCACTAAAGCTTGTATACTTACTTGTCTCTCTCTCTCTCTCTCTTGTTTCAGAGGACATAACCAGAACAAGTTCAAGCATGGAGTCTTCAAAGCTCTATGCTTTTCTCTTCATTTCCATGCTCTTCGTCTCTTCTTTTTCTCCCATTCTTGGTTGTCCCTACTGTGGCATAGGCAAGCCTCCCAAGAAGCACAAGCCCGCCAAAAAGCCTCCCGCCGTCAAGCCGCCAGGGATCTTGCCTCCGATTACCGTCCCTCCCATTAAGCCACCAGTCACATTGCCTCCGGTGACTGTCCCGCCAATTAAGCCGCCAGTGGCCTTGCCGCCAATCAAGCCACCGGTGGAACTGCCTCCGATCAAGCCACCTGTTGATCTGCCGCCGATCAAGCCACCAGTTGAACTGCCACCGATTAAGCCACCGGTTGAACTTCCACCGATTAAGCCACCGGTGGACCTGCCTCCACTTCCACCAGTGCCGATCCTGAACCCACCAACTCCAAGCAAGGGAGGTGGGAAGACGCCGTGCCCGGCACCACCGGCGACGTGCCCTATAGACACGCTGAAACTGGGAGCTTGCGTGGATCTGCTGAACGGGTTGGTGCACGTAGGGTTGGGAGACCCGGTGGTGAACAAGTGCTGCCCGGTGCTGCAAGGTCTGGTGGAGCTTGAAGCGGCGGTGTGCCTCTGCACCACCTTGAAGCTGAAGCTTCTGAACCTCAACATTTATGTTCCTCTCGCTCTTCAGCTTCTCGTTACTTGCGGAAAAACTCCCCCTCCTGGTTTCACCTGCTCCCTCTAAACCCAGTTAAGTATGTATACACCAAACCCTAACTCTTCTATATCATGTTTGCTTTGTGTTTTGTGTCAAATCAGCCACTTGCTTTTAGTTTTAATGAACATGAATAGACTAATATATGTTGCGCGTGCTATATTCTATTATTCTATAATTAATTTCATCTTCGATATTTTAATGAAAACGCGTGACCATTTGTTTAATATCGATCATTTGAGACAGAAGCTTCTAATAGATTCTAGAAGATGTAACGACTAATAATTAAATTAGTAAATCATAATCTAGTCTCTTATGTTTTGTTGGTTTTGCTTTACATTTTGGATTGTTGTGAGGAGATAATTAAACCCCTGTATGCGTATGACCTAACATTGACCCGGAAACTTTATATATACATATATATAATATTTATATAAGAGGAAGAAATTAATGAAATATTATTGTTCCACTGTGACTACAGAGATGTTGTAATTTTTTTTTATTTTTTTGACCAGACAGATACTGTAATTGATAAGGAATGAATTAGGTTACTAGTTTTACGTGCAAGTCTTTCACATGTCTTTGTACTGTTGATACTGAAGAGTTTGGTTGATTGAAGAAGCGGCTGAAAGATCATGGAGACTTTATGTATCATATACGTTATGTTTTGATTTGCAATTTGTACCCGTGAACTTGTAGACTTGTAGTCTTTGTCTTACTGCATGTCATGTAACTATTCCTCGCAGGTGGTCGATGAATGTGTGGACCAAATCCATCGACATGAGAGGATGTCGAGCCACTATTATTTCTCTCTCTCTCTCTCTCTAGATTGGAATTTATTAATGCTGTTATTCGGTTATCTCAATATTGTTATTAAAACAATTTGTTTTTCTCAATTCTCAGAGATTGTTGTACGTCGCCCTTAATTTTTATGCATATTTCATATTCCTAGCTAGGTCATTTAGCAGATGCTTCTTCTGTGACAATATTCCAGAATACTTGTTAATGATTCGCATATTGCTACAGATTATTGGTGAAATGATAATGAAATATCTTCAAAATATATATATATATATATATATAATTTAATCCTTTAAAATTTTATAATTTCAATAAAATTTTTAAGGACTTATGTGTCAATAAATTTTAAAGTGAAAAAACTATTTTATTTCTATTGAAAATAACAAACTTCAATCACAACTTTTGTTTTGTAAATCATATGAATTAAACAAAAAATCATAAATTATCAAATGTAATTCTTGTTATTAAAAAACAAATCCCAATTACAAATTTTGCTTCAAGAAAAACAACTTTTATTTTATGAATTGTAAAAGTTGAATAAAAAATTATAGTTTATCAAGTATAATTTCTTTTATTAAAGCATAAGTTCTCAAAATAACAAACTTCATTTACAATTTTATTTAAAAAATTATAATTTTTATTTAAAAAATAATAAAAATTGAGTAAAAAACTACAACCTTATAAAATATATATCCTGAGGGATAAAAAAAAATCTCAAGCATGAAAGGCATAGAATTCTCAGTACCAGATAACGTTGGCAAAACTTGGCTTGTTGATGGAAAGAAAAAGTGAAAATTGATAGTCTCATTGAGTTGTTTTCATAAACCTTAATTTGAGAGTTAAATGTAACATCACATATAAAAGATTCCCCTTTGATTGGTCCACCGTACTACACACACACACACAGCCAGATGGTTTTGGGATTTCAATGGGCTAAGGAAATTCCAGTTTTGCAGAAAGAGAATGTTACTTTTTCAATGTAAATAAGAGAGTGACAGAGGGTGTGAGTGTGACACGCGTACATAACGTATATGATATTTGGTAATCCTCCTGTTTTATTTATAAATTATTTTTATTAATATCAATATAACAAAAATATAAAATATAAAAGTAATTAAAATTTTAAATATAACCTTCAAATAAATAAAAATAAATAATATAATATAATATTATTTTTTCTACCTCTTTTGTTTTCAAGTGATAATTTAAAGATTTTAGTTTAAAATAAAATAATTCTATCTCTTTATTATTTATAAAGTCAATTGGATTGTGATTTTAGAATGCACTTAATATACAAAGATTGGAGGGAGTACATGTGATCGCTTATCTCTTGCTGGCCATAGCCATTGCAATTATTTCTAAATACTTCTAATACCGCTTCTATTCATAAGATGAAGAGGGGAAAAAATTTATTACTCATTGCAAACTTTTTTCTCAACAAGAATTCAAATATTAGTCTAATATTAGTCTATTATGTTATGTGGGAATGGCTCATTCTAATATAGACCTAATCCCCATTGATATAAAGAAAAAAAATTAATAACATATTTATGAGACATGTCATTAACTTTTTATTAAAAAAAATTTCCTTTTACTCGTTTTAAATATGGGTTGAGGTCCATTTTTTCTCCTAATTAAACTATTTTCATAGAAGCACCTAGTTTTTTAAATTTTTTGTCTTAATAATGTTGTCGTTGAAATAATTAAATCGTAGTAATGTTGTCTTTGACATTGAATGGGCAAATGTTGAATCAAACTTATTTATGAGTCAATAAAATTAACCATCAATATTTGCCTATTTCATGTCAAGGCAACATTACTAAAATTTAATTACTTTAAATACAAAATTGATATGATAAGAAGTTTAGGATATAAAGTACTCCTACAAATATGGTTTATGTGGCAAAAATAAATCTTAACCCATATAGGTGAGAGAAAATATATGATTAAAGAATGTATATTTAATATGGGTATAATTAAAAACTTATTAATTTTTGGATTAAGGTGCATTTTTGCTATTGAATTATTCTTTGAAGAGCATCTAGTGTATTAAGCAAGGTTTGAAGACCCGGACTGACCTGGACGGTCGGACCGGTCGGACCGTCGCCCGTTGAAGAAAGCGGGTTGGGTCAACTAATTAACCCGTATGAGCAATTGACCTGGGTTGGCTCGTCTGGAACCGGACGGGTTTTATAAACTCGAAAAAGAACCGGAACCCGGAACAGTTTGAATGGGTCAGAAGCGGGTCAAAGGAGGGGCAAAATTGGAATTTTAAAAATTAAAAAAAAAACCCTTATCTATCAGTATCTCTCGGATTTCACTTTCAGAGTTTCAGGTTCAGATTTCAGATTCAGCCGGTACAGCTCGGTCTTCAGATTTCACTCCCTACAGTCACGCCACCTCGCCTGCTCGCCGTCGCAGCTAGACTCAGAAGTCAGAAAGAAATCAGGCATCAGCGTCTCACGGTCTCGGTCTCGGTCTCGGTCTCGGTCTCTGTCTCAATCTTCTCTTCTCTGTTCTCTCTCTATCTCGCACGGTGGCCGGTGGGTTCTGTCGTTCTGGTCAGTCATCGGCTCATCGCACATCGCCTCCTCAAATCTCGACCGTCTGGGTTCCATTTCTGTGGGTCTCTTCTCTGTTCTCTCTCTGTGCATTCACACCGAGACAGTCGGACTCTTCCCTCTCTGTGCATTCACGCCATTTCTGTGCATTCACCGTCTTCGTCTTCTTCGTCTTCTTCACAGTCAGACTTTTCCCTCACTGTGCATTCACACCGAGACAGTCAGACACTCAACATCCTTCATTCTTCATCTTCTTCATTGATCGCTGATCGCTCTCTCTTTCTCTCTATCAGTCCTGGTGAGCTCCTTCATCTATCTCTCTGCCCAATTTAATCTAATGCCATGGTTTTGAATAGCAAATTAGCAATGTATGAATGCTGATGGATGAACATTTTTTTTATTATCTGCGCTGTTTATTTTCTGAATTCTGAATTATTCAAGACTCTTATACTGTGTTGTCTGCTCTGTGATTTATCTATGGATATGGTTATAATTATATTCATATTGTCCTAATCGATTTGAGACTCAAGAGTTGTTTATTGACAAAATAGGAAGGCTATATTCATATTGTCTGTCTGCTTTTAATTTGTTAATTTACTTGTTTAGGTGTAGAAAATGTCGTCATCTGATCATGCATCTACTGCTGCATCTACTCAATCTGTTAGAGCTAAATCAGATCCTACATGGGAGCATTGCACTCAAATACCAAACAAAAAGGAAGGTGGCAAACCTCGCTTAAAATGCTTGTATTGTGCAAAGGAATTTGCTGGTGGGGGAATTAATAGAATGAAACAGCACCTTGCTGGGAAAAGAGGAGATGCCATTAGTTGTAAAAATGTGCCTCATGATATTCGCTTTCGATTGGAGGAAAATTTGAAAGAGATTGAGGGAAAGAGAACAAAAAAACAAGATAACCCAACAGAAACAGAGGATAGTCTATTTGGGGGGAATGATTCAAATATGGAAGAAATGGCTCCTCCACAGTCTCAAGAAAGGGTGATTGAAGCAAATGTTCCAAGTTCTTCTCAATCAAGAAAAAGGAAGGCATCTGAATCTTTAGAGAAGTTCTTTGCCCCAAGGACAACCCCGGGTGCACAACCAGGAATAAGAAGTGCATTTACAGGTAAAGAAGCTTTGCATAGAGCTGATTTGGCTATTGGTAGGTGGTTATATGATTGTTGTATTTCAATAAATGCTGTGAATTCCATTTACTACCAACCTATGGTAGATGATATTGCTGCTATTGGTCTTGGTTATAAAGCCCCAAATTATCATGCTGTGAGAAGTAAAATATTGCAAGACATGAAGAAGGAGGTTCAGTTACTAGTTGATGAATGCAGAAGTTTTTGGGCTGAAACTGGTTGTACTATAATGGCGGATGGTTGGCAAGATCAAAGAAATAGGTAGTTGATTAATTTTCTTATTTATTGTCCTAGAGGAATTGTTTTTATTAAATCTGTAGATGCCTCAGATATAGTTAAGGATGCTCAAAATCTTTGCAATTTATTCATGGACATGGTTGCATTTGCTGGTGCGAATAATATTGTTCATCTAGTAACTGATAATGCAGCTAATTATAAAGCTGCTGGGAGATTATTAAATGACAAGTACCCTTCTATTTTCTGGTCTCCTTGTGCTGCCCATTGCTTAAATTTGATTTTGGCAGACATAGGCAAGATGGAGATTGTTACTAGTTTAGCAGCACGTGCATCTGTGGTTTCAAAATTCATATATAACCATGCATTTTTGCTAGCTTGGTTGAGGAAAAGAGAGGGTTGGGTAGAAATTATTCGCCCAGGGGCCACACGGTTTGCCACTACTTTCATTGCTTTGAAGAATATCTATGAGCACAAGCATGATATACAAGCCTTGATAACTAGTAAGGCATTTATGGACTCTAGATACTCTAAGGATCGAAAGGCTAAGGATGTCACAATGATTGTGTTGGACAACAAATTTTGGAATGACTGTAAAATTCTTGTTGAAATTGTAAAACCACTCATCCGATTGTTGAGAATTGTTGATTCTGATGATAGGCCATCACTTGGGTATGTCTATGATGGTATGTATAGGGCAAGGAAAGCTATAAAGAGTACTTTTTTGAAGAAAAAATATTTGTACAAGCCCTACACAAGGATTATTAAGAGAAGGTGGGATTCTCAGCTCCGACAAAATCTTCATGTAGCTGCTTATGTCTTTAATCCTGCCTTTCTTTATGATAAAGAAAACTTTTCTCAAAAGCCAGAGGTTATGCAAGGATATCTTACTGTTATAGATAAGAAAGTCTCTTCTAATAAGACCAAGTTCTTGCAAGAAGGCACACAATATCAGGAAAAGAGTGGTAGCTTCAGTCATCCATTGGCTATTGAATCTGCAAAATCAATGCGACCTGGTAAAGTAAAGATTTATATATTTATCTTTTATATTTATTATCTTGCAACTTTATCTGTAAAATCTCTTCTACTAACTTTATCTTTAATATGGCAGATGAATGGTGGCGATATTTTGGAAGTAGTTGTCCAAATGTTAAAAACTTAGCCATTAAATTGTTAAGTCAAACTGCATCTTCATTAGGTTGTGAAAGGAACTGGAG